TAAAGTGATTTTGTGGAAGGCGGATATTTGAGTCGTCAATGATGGGGGAAATATGTGGATAAAGATAACACCTGCTGGGGCGGCTTTTCCAACGATGAATACTGTGACGCTGGAGTCACTTTCATCGTGCGATAACTACCGATATAAAAGCAACACACTAGGGGGATCTGATGTCCTCTTTCTACCTGTGGCGAGGTAACTTCAGTGACCGCATAGGCACAAACCACACGATCTGGAAGGAGACTTTAGATTACCACTGAGCGGCAGGCAGGAAGAGAGCACAATGCCCTCTTCACCAGTCTCTTCTTCTGCTTCAAAATCTTAGCAAAGGCATCGTGGACGCACAATCGCGAAGCTGCTGGACTACGTCCTTACCAGGAAGCAGGATCAGCCTGACTTTATGACGACGGTAGCGACACGTGGCGAGCAGTGTTGAACAGGTCACCGCTTGACCTAAATTACGTGCTGTTATGCGGCTATTGGCGGGGCTCGAGAGAGAGAGAGAGAGAGAGATTCTTAATGCCATCAGTGAGTTCTCCCCTACCATTGTATGTATCGGATCTCAATCGACAGGACAGCGAGCTCCTGGCTCAGGGGTTAGGACGTTGGACTTCTAACCAAATAGGTGGCGAAATTGAGCCCCCGGGGCTTGGTACCTCGAGATTGAGTATGGATGGCTGATAACGGCCAAGACGCCAGAGACGGCCGTTCCTGTCTCCCTTGTCTTTTTTGGTGATGTTATTCTGCCTTCTCATGATCATCAGTGCTGAGAAGGCGACGGTCATATGCACACCTGGGTCAACTAATGAATACAACAAGCTCATGAGAGATGCCCATGAAACTCGCCCCACAACTGTGGACACATCTGCACGCCTTGGTTGAACCAGCTCAGGGAGCATCAATACCGTTGGCAAAAAACGATTGGGTTCCCCAAAGCCAGGCTACTGCTGCAACCTTCCTCTCAACACGAGACTAAGGATGCACCGGAGTGGCCTTCAACGATGTTCTTCTACGGGACGGAAGAACTCACGCCGAGAAAAAGATACGATAGCTGGAACAAGAGCTTCATCTGACTGACATTTTGGTCTAAAACTCGAATCCATCATTGGGGACAGAATAAACAAAGGCGGAGATTTGCACAGGTGTACTACGTACAACCATCTTCGATTAATGCAGGAGTCACCCAATTTTGGTAGGAATGCAACGTCATAGCAACTACGTACTGCAATACTTGGCCAGTCAAGAAATTAGAAGCAATATTTCCCCGAAATGAATTTAAAGCAGGCATGGACAGCAGAATTCATTGCAACCAATAGATTTCGCGACGGCTTATCAAGTGCAGCCTGTCGTTGCATAATACGGATAACAAGTGAGAAAGGTACAGATGTTTGAACTCCCACAGAGGAAATCAATATAAAACAGCAAGGTTATCGTATACTGCACGTAGACTTATCAATAGACATGACTAGACCGAAAGATGGTTCAATAAGGCTATCGGTTTTCCACAAGGATACACAGAAGAGCCAATACCTACCCTCCTTGAGCTTTGTGCGAATTCGACAAAGGCGAAATTTGGTTTACACTCTATTCCAAAGAGAAAAAAACATTTGCTCTATTGAAACGCTGGATGCTGAAATTTCTTGCCTTAAAACGGCCTTGCTTGAACGGGGATATCTAACACGATTCATCGAAAATTACAACAACACTTTGCAGCCAAAATTGACCGAACAAGCAGTTCCGTAAAAGCCCGTTGTAATATCTTTACCCTTTGAGGCTGATAAAATCTCAAATACCATCAAGTGGCGATTGAAATGCGCCATTGAAAGAGCATATAACTCAGCTGAACTCATATTCTGCAGCCCCACTAAGGACATCCAAGTTCCACGGGCTAAGGATGCCTTGCCATTGCACGCCACGTCAAATTTTGCTTACGAATTCACATGCACTTGCGGATGCAAGTATATTGGGCGAACGCAAAGGCAATTGGCAGCCAGGTCAGTTGAGCGCCTGCCTAAATGACATCCAAAGCAGGAGAATAAGATTCCACGGTCTTCTATTACAAACCACCTCCTTGATAGCGGACATTCGGTCGGTCCCAAAACATCTTTTCGAGTACAAGTTCGAGCCCGAACAAATCGGTTACTGCGCTACCTGGAGGCAGCCTACATACGGCGTGAGAAGCCCGACCTAGGTAAACAGTTAGACCACGTGGTCAGCCTCAGCTTGCCCTGGTATATCTGCGCCATTTTGACTTACGAAATCCCCGGCGTGTTAACTTCTCCGTCTTCTTTCTTATGTAGCGTTTTTCAAGTTACTATTTTATTGATTAGTCTACGTGCAGTATACGATGACCTTGCTGTTTTACATTGATTTTCTCCGTGGAAGTTCAAATCTCTACATCTTTCTCACTTATTATTTGTGTTATGCAACGACAGGCTTCAGTTTGTAAGTCGTCGCGAAATTTACTGGTTCCGATAAATTCTGCTGTCTATGCCTGCTTTAAATTAAGAAATTGCCGCACCACATGCCTTTATTGGCGATGAAATGTTTGCAGAGCCGCAGAGGCGCAGCAACGGCATCCTATAAATACTGCAACTTAATACCCCTTATCTGCTCCCGCATCTGATGATGGAATCCAATGTGGATGCGAAACGTTGGGTGAACAATGTACCCGTTCCAGCTATCATGTCTTTCCAACTGCAATTCGACTTTGCTTACTATCTCTCCACTTTCCAAAACCGGCGCTAAGCCCCATAAAAGCCCTGGGTAGGTGACGAAAGTCAAAGCTAGGACAATCTTTACTGTACGAAAGACAACTCCGTGAAGATAAGAAAGCATGTGCAGGCGGAACAGGGGGTTCAGGGCGGGGAGATAGGCTGATGGCGTCCCCGGCCTCCATCGATATGTGCAGCAAGGGGACTTGGGGGGAGGGAATACGCACCACTGACGATGACGGCGGGTACAGGGTAGACGGGTCGTCTAGCTGCCGTACTCTTCAAGCAAACGGTGTGATGAAGACTCGTCTACAAGGACAAACTTCCGACGAAGCCAACTGTAGAGGTAAACGTCCGCCGTAGAGATGTTATACCACATACCGAGCACACGAACGTTGCCCAGCGCAATGGCATCCTTAAGAATGGGATGCGAGTACACGTTGGCCATCTGTTGAAGAACGTTCACCTTTTAAAAAAGACAAGGCATTATGAGTGCGTACTGCGGCAAGGATGGGAGCGTAAAAGGCTTGGCAAGCATGCCTCTGGAATGCACAGAACATGCAAATGAAGCGGAAGCGAACATGCAACAGACTGGTGCACGACAGGTCACAATTCACCTGGAGATCGTAGTCCCCTGAAGAGGGAGACATAATGGCGTTAATTAAAACAAGAAGACCTACTTAAAGCAAAGTGCGGCATGTTCCTCTCTGCAAAGCGTAATGTTGCCGTCCGCAGGAAGCAAATGCGTGCATCGAGGTGGAAGATAACCGATTGAAGAAAGCAGTCCGTCTGCGGCAGCCCATAAACGTACTTGGCTGAGCCGAACCTACCAAACCTATGTAGGCTATTTTCTGATCTGTCGAAGTCTGATACTTGGAAGGCAGAGCTGATGATGGAGAACAGGCTAGGAAACTGGCCTTCTAAACAACCTTGTCTTTGTCGGCATTAAATTACGACTAAGAGAGATCCGTAGTGACAACCAATGTGTACATGAATACTTTAGATATGTGAACTCGTATCTTCACCGCTAGCTGGCGCTCAGATACACGGGTTTGAGGGATTTCCCGGTTTTTCCCGTTGAACTAGCCAACTCTGCTCTTGAGATGTCAATGCCGGGTGCACAAAGTAGTTGTAGGCTTGTGCGCGAACTGTATCTCACGTCTACTCAGACGTCTTTCGGCGAGCTCAAATACATTTTTCACTTAAGGGGAATGGACTGGTCGGTTGGTTTTGGGGCGTGGATGGCCTTAGATCTCGAAAAACTCATTCTCTTGAACATAAGCGCTAGGATGTAGGACCCATAAGTAGATGGTAACTACAAAAATAAACCTTAACGTTCAGCGTGACTGTAAACATCACTTATTATCCACCGTTCCTATTGTTTGAAATTTACTTCACTTCCTGACTAGGTGTAGACTTGCCAGTGGCGCTTTATTCAAAGTCTGTTATTTTTTTAAGACCGCATTTTGTTTGTTTTTTTTTTATGGCGCTCACTTTTTTGCCATATGACAGTGTACGGCAGGACTTCCGCTGAAATTTATCTATTTCCTGTGTCTTCTTCCTCTCCGTTCTTCGTGTTGTCTCGTCCGTAAAACCCTCTCTATAACCGTACAACGTACGACATATACCACAGGTTAGCTCAAGCTAGTTGGGAGTCCTGCGCAATACCGTTGATTGACCGCTGACAGAAATGAGTGAGTTTTTTATATTTGCAATACAACTAACCAACTCAAACTAGGTGGTCAAGAAGTGGACTGTTTGTTTGGTTGGACAGACGAGCCCCGCAGAAAGGGTGACGAAAGTGTCCTGGGCTGTGACGCGAAGTTGTAGTCAATGATGTTGTGGTTTAATCGATCTCCTCCTCAGTAGTCTTCACAAATACTTTATCGCATCAGTGTTTTTGTAGACTAATAATGACACAGCCTGTCAGTATAGACCAACGTCTGGTGCTTACCACCGTCCGAATTATGCAATCTCAAAAAAGATGCTTGATCCTAATGGTTGAACGGTCCTCGCTAATGGATCAACCAAGCTGAGATGGAGACAGTGGCATCCCATTGCATACCTGACAACCCACTTTCGCACAAACGATTAACCTTATAACTGAACGTCGTTCCTTTAAAGGGCAGCGAAAAATATGAAGCCGAATGTATATGTCTTGAATTTGTAGATCAAAACCAACATAAACGTGAAGGGGAACGGCTGACAAGTGGTTTGTGAGAAAGCAAACTTTCTGGCCCCTTAAATGTCGAAGCGAAAGAAGGTAAGTGAAAACAAGCTGCCCCTGTGAAAGCCCTCTTCAAAAAAATACTCAAAAGGTCCCAATGCGGCTTGGCCGGATGGTAAGAAGCTAGGGGCAATACATAAAGGTAGCAAGTAGTTCTTTTTTCAAAAAAAACATTCTTATAAATTAACCAAATTATCCGTAGTTGACAATAAAGCAGCCAGCAACCGGGTTTCATCAGTGGTAAGAGAACAGCATGAAGATGAATATCTGTAGGAGGTCAGAAAGTGAATACGCGGTTTTCGAAGGCCCCCCCCTCACGGACCCGGAGTGGTGTGTCAAGTGATTTCGAGCACTAAATAGCCGACAATCTCGGATTTGCGACGAACCTTTATTCGGCATGCCGCAGCCGGCGGTAACCACCTTGCATTTGTTTGTATAGCAAAATTCATCATCATCATCATCATCATCATCATCATCATCATCATCATCATCACCATCATCATCATCATCGTCATCATCATCACCAAGGTTTTCGGCACAATCACACGCCGGCAAATTGTAGAAAACTTTTGCATTCAATGTCCACTTAGCTATTCGATGCTCTGAATTCATGTTCGAGGCATCAGTTCATCCGACTTACCTCTCCCTAGCTGGGTTCTTAAGGGGTCATTAAAATCGCAGCCAGGTAGGGGACCATGCGTTTATCCAAGAGAACCTAATTTGAGTACTGGAAGGGATTAACCAATCCAATCTCGGAATGAATGCACACGAATCCCGAGTCTCATAAATGACCCCAGTTGAAGTTAAAAGCCCCATGGTTATACGGTCGCATCTTGAATGCTGCCCATCTGATTGCTTAAGGGCGGAATACCTAATCATATTCTCGGCCTTTTTAATCTGCGACGGGGAGAACAAGTGAAGTTTGAAAGCTTCGCGTCGCAGTCGTTGTGAACTCAAAGTAACTACGTCAGACAGAATAGATGTTATGGACTGTCATCTCCGACCTCGCCAAGACACCACTCAAGCGCTCCTAGTCTCAGCATGCCTACACGTAAATGAGCGTCTCGATCCTTCACGGGAATCAAAACAGTTCTGCGGCATACAAGCTCAGCGAGACTTGAGCGCTGTTTTCTCCACTGCTGCCCGCTGACACTAACACGCGTCATTTTGTAAGGCCGATGGTGAAAAACGCTAGAATCAAAAGCAGCACAAGCGCTTCGCCTCAGTCTGAAGGCGGTCTGCAAAACGGTAGCCGGCTGGCAAGCTCTACGACGCCTTTTCGCGCTATAAATAAGGCCCGCATCTCTACGTAGAGAGGATGCAGAAAAAAACGCAACGGTTGTGCTGTTTGCAGTAAAACCTATCCCATCAGGATTTCCGCCTCAAGAGGGTTTCTTGGGTTGACCCAAAATCTTTACGACCCACATATTGGGGAAAAAATCAGCATTTTGTGACCCGACCACTTGGCTGCTAGACCAGGTTCTCCAATCGTCGGGCAGTTGTTGTCCCTTCAATACACTTGTTAGTGAAAACCTCTCTGCCGATTTACCCTCAGCAATTTCTCTAGTTTCATTTCAAGTCTTATGGGGTTCATCTGAGGAGTGTAGAGGGGTTAAGACAGAACAATCATTGTTAGTTCAAAGTAGGAATAGTATAGTCCGTGCAACGGCCCGGTACTTAACTGAGAAGGGGCACCGAAAACGACGGGGGAAACTGAAGGGACAGTTTCTGGCTTGACAGGTCTCGCCAGCCAGCCGTATATAATCCAAGTCTGGATGATCTGGATTTTGAACTTGGGGTTTTCTGCTCATCGAGCGTCACTTAGTTCGAAATTCTAGCACTGAGCCCGGGTACCGTTGTCCTTTCAATTGTGATCAAGAATAGCGAAATGTTGAGATCGCGATCACAGATCAGATTACGGGATATGCTCTCCCTCTTCCGCTGTATTGACCAATCTAGAGCCCTTCCAGGCAGTCGCATAAAGACCAGTAATATATGCAGTGAAAGGAACAAGAACAAAAAAGGGACTGGGGGATCGTTTCGGGTTCATCAGTCATCTTCGTCCAAATCATGTCCAACCTAAAATTTAGGCCACCTGGGATTCAAATTCGTGAGGACCATAGATCGGAGCTTATGACACGGTGGGACGAGCATGTCCCGTAACTAAATCGGCTGAAACCCTTCTTCGTTGTCAGTATTGTAATGTTTAAGTGGTAGACCGTCGTCTACGATAAAATGGTTTTTAATAAGCAAACAGAATGAACAACTTCTTTGGCTTACCTGCGACAGACGATCGACGGGTGAGAACCTACGCTCGGCATCGACTGTCGCATTCATTGGCCGAAAGTCGCTGCCCAGATCAAAGGTTATAGTGAGTGCATCGGAACGAAGGAAGGCCTCGAGGGAGGACTTGCCCATCTGGACAACCCAGCGCTCCAGCGGGCTGGAGTACCTGGTGAGATTGATTGCGGAATCCTCTCCAACCTTCATGAGCAAGTTCATTGCCTTTGCACAAAAAATGAAAACAGTGGAGACGCGTTATCGCTTAGAGCACTGTCAAAATGGACAGGGGAGGGACACCTCTGCTGAACGTCAGACAGGATATCAACCGATTTGGGGAACATTTCTTAGTCTCAAGTAGCACAACGGTCGAGTTGTCCAGTTAAAAGCACCAGCTCACTTGTTTTGTACATTTATAAATTAGCATCTTCCAGGGGATTTTCCTGGCCGAGAAATGTGAACTTGAAAAATGAGTCATTTTGATTAGTTTTACTCAGGAAAAAAAGTAATCACTATTTAGTCGTTAAGAACGACGGTACAACGTCGAAAAAAAAATAAGTCGCGTGTTGGGATTGCAGAGTCGCGTATGCTCACCTTCATGGAGGATAAACAGGCAAAAATATTATCGCCGATTTGTGGTGACAATGCAATCACCTATCAGGTTCTGGAACATGTTCGTCTCACTGCTCCTATAGGCTCAAGCTCGAGCACTCGCGGGCAGATACATAGTGACTAGCAGTACACGTAAAAAAATAAGGGAGACTGGGATGGCCCATCACTCAACGTTCGAGCACTAGGCTGACGGTCGTTTAATGCCCAAAGACCCGAGTTCTAATCTCATGTCATCCAGACCCGAAGTAAGTGGACAGTTTTTGGACCTAGGCAGAATAGCATTGTTCGACGAAGACAAGGGAGACTGGAACGGCTATTTCTGGCTTATAAGCCGTCGTCATCCAGTCATACCCAATCTCGAGGTGTGGCGCACCTAGGGCTCGATCCCGCGACCTGTTGGTTAGTCCAACGTCCCTAACCACTGTCGATAATGCCATTTTGCCTATATCACGTGTCATTGTATAGCTGCTGGCGGGGCTCGAGAGAGAACTCCAAGACGCAAGGGGACGAAAGTGTTCCGTAACGCGATCGGTGAGTGCCCATCTACCACATCTTAACCGTCAAGACAACGAGTCCGTAGCTCAGTGGTTAGGGGCGTTGAACGTCTAACCGACAGGTCGCGGGATTGAGCCTCAAATGTTCCACACCTCGGGGTTCGGTATGACTGGCTGACGACGGCCAATGAGCCCGCAACGGTCATTCCAGTCTCCCTTATCGTCATCGGTTGTGGAAACTTTCTCTCGCGCCATTCCAAAAGGAATGGAATGCAATCGCTCTCGACTGAGAAACCAAATTTTCCTGCGCCCTCTTGTCACCAATGGGTCTCTTTTTCCATAGCCTCAGAACGTCCGTACTTTCGCAGATGCTGAATACCTTTTGTTTCACAACCGGAATTTGTTCTGCTTTAAGTTACCCTAAACAGACCAGAGCATATTTCGCTTTGGTTAACTTATGGTCAGACTTCCACGGGCGAATTTTTTGAGGAAAAACACGATCACGTTGTCTCAAATTGCAACCTCTCTCACAATTAAGGAACCTAACTCTCCCTTAACCCCTTTTCGTCTGCACTTCCATAAATGTTGTGTACCCTCTGTTTCACAACCGGGATTTTGCTCTCCTTCTGACTATATCAGACAGAGCAGAAAGGAACCATTGTGGAGAGGGGTGTAACCAATAACCATAGTGATTCAACAGGTTGGGAGAAAGTCTGAGATCGCGCGAGTAATTATCAGTATTAAACAAAATGTCATAGCATCTAGTCCGGTGTAGAACACATGCAGCTCGTAAAAACAAACACATCACTAGCCCTTTTCTCCACGGGAACTACATATTGAGTAAAGATCCCTGAATTATATTCTTGTTACGTAATTACACAATGATGTTGTCTAGTCATCCAGTAGAGGTTTTTTTGTGCTCTCCTTGCTGCAATAAGTAGTGATTTGAAATCCAATTTAGCAGCAATTAAAGTGCCCAAACCACCTTAATTGCGGGCTGTTTCATTTAATATAACGTCAGACTGTCCTCACAAAACGGTGGTCGAACACTAGTCTCCTATGCTGTTCATGTGAACAGGGTGTCATCTGCAAGATTTAATGCGGAGCCTGTGATGTAGTTTTCTGTGGTAAAACAGAAAAATCCGGCTCTGCAGGCATTCGCGAACACAAGCTGGCGGTAAAGAGGCGAGACCATCTGTCTCGAGTAGCCATGCACACCCTGGACACCGGGTATTTCTTTGCTTGGGGTAGGATTAAGACTGTCGGTGTCTGCCCTTTCAAAGAAGACCAAGAGTTCCTTGAGACCGTGCACTCGGATAAATCATGTATCAACCGGTGCATCGAGTTGGACGCCGCGAACAAAAATCTCAAGATGTGGAAGAGACGAGAGCCATTCAGAAAAGAATGACGCAGATAGCGGTCGCTCGCGGGCGCAAGCGCCGAATAATTGTCGACTTTCAAGTGTACTGCCCGATATTAACTGTTGTCGACACATTTGCTCTCCGTCTGCGTCTGACGACGACCTGGGGAACCGGCGTCGGAAATTTACTCAATAAAATTCCTTTTCCCAAAGAACACCTGTGACTCCAACTTACGGCAGCTACCTGACATCCGATGTGTGAAACTGTCCTCTCTTTTAATCTGTCAGCCAGTCATCTAAAAAGAAGCTAAACATCATTTGGGCTTCACAGTACTGATTCGTAAGCTGATAGATGTGGCAATTTATTGGCCGAGACACAAAATATCGACTGGTTGATGTCCTGCTGCGAGTTTGGCCTTTCTGAAAGCCTAACCAGAGGAGTACATTATCGTTGTCATTTGTCCAAAAATTAGCACTACAGCAGAGCGCAAACACAAATAGCAGTAGTGGCAGATTTCAGAAACGTTTCTCAATTTTTGAAATTGACCAATGTGTCCAAGCTGGTTTAAAACGACCTGTGTCGTGATATTTCTCACATTCCACCGTCTTGTCAAACAAAGACGCGGAGAAACGATCAGGGCTCCTTCAGATAAATTGACGTACCTCCTAAACTTATGATCTGAAATTTTTAGACGTGAAGGTCTTCGCTCCAAGAGTCTTGTTGTTACGTAAACTTGTGTTGCTTTTGAGGTTAATGTCCTCAGAAAACGCGGGTAACCAATCAGTCCCAAGGCTATAAGGGATCTCGCGACGGCATTTGCCTTCGGTCGTGCGTACACTACTGGTTACTCGTTAGGCAGTTTATGATTATTACACGGTTATTCACAGTGGCTGATGGACTTCAGTCAAAATACTCATATAAAATTTCAGTTTGTTTTTACGTCTCAAATAAACTGATTTACTTAATGTTTACGATTTATTTCTTGAGAAATTAAAAGATTTCGGTTTTTAAGCTGGAGTGTTCACCAAAAAAACACACAGAGAACCCTAGGCGACATACTGGTGAGCGAATCTCTTGCAACGGTCATGCAGCGACAAAAATACCTATGCAAACGTAGATTTTCGGTGCAGACAATCGGCTACGAAATTAGCAAATATTTCATTGTTCAAAAGTCATTCGGTTTTGGAGGCCAACATCACGGTTATTGTCGTTTTGACCCAGTAATCGTTTTAGGTCACCCTTAATCCGCCTTGACACCGCTTATCAAAATTGTCTAGGGTCTAGCTTCCGTTCAGTTTGCAGATAGTTATATCAAGTCAGCATATAGCCGCTGGATGAATTCATAAACTAGGGACTTTAATGATAACTATCTGATACTGTATCCTTTTTAGATGTAATCATTGCAGCCGGATAAGGCTTCTGTCTGGGCTGCCCAATTCTATCGTAAATTCAGTCGTTTTACGCTTGTATGTTTTGGAGTAAAAAGACTTGTCTGCCGAGAATAAAACTGCGCAGGCAAACAATATCTGGGCTCAATTTTTTGCCGAATAACTGACAAGAGTCGTTTATTATAAAAACGCAGGTGGGTGTGGGTTGCAGATTAACTATCCGCCTATACAAAACTTGTATAAGTAGAAAATAAAAGTAAATCATCGTTCACTATTTGTTGCGTAAAATTCTGAATAGAAAAAGGAATTGAAAATTTAAGGACATATTTTTCAGACATAAGCAAGCCGTCTCTCACCTTACAGTCCGAGTGGCCGCATATAATAATATCTTTAACTCCAGAACGACAACAGGCAAGTTCTAGGGCACCAGGCTCGTTAGAAATGGGCAATTTTCTGTCAGCAAACTCCTGTGCGTGAGGTATGAAGTTCCCAGCATTTCGAACTGTGTACAAATCTCCGGATTCCGAAGCCGTAAATCGTGTCGGATAAACACGGGCATCCATACAGGAGATAACAATTGCATTTGGCTAAAATGAAAGTTCACTTGGAAGCAATTGTAAGCGGAATGTAGGGCACTTTTCTTATCATAATAGGTTTTCCTTATATAGGTTTATAGTTGGAAATTATAACCAGGATATTTATATATAAAATCGCTTAGATATGAAGCGTGTAGTGCCCGAAACGATAAACGGCCAAGCCTACTATTTAATGATTTATACGAACATCTCCGTAAAGATGCTTATACTAAGTCATTTTGTTAGATCGTCTACGCCACCTTAGTAAAGAATGATCGAGTAAAATATCAAAGGTTGAAATAAATGGATCCCATCCCTCCGAATTTTATGACTATACACATCCCTTAACCTGGATGCAAATGCCCAACGATAACTTCCAAAATCCATAACCTAAGAATACGGAAGAGTTGCCTTCCCTCAAAGCAAAAATACTCAAGGTGGACTGGGAACACATCCATGACTTTAGGCCTATCCCCACTTAGATGACCCTTCTCCGTCAATGTTGACCGAGTTAAATCGATGTACGGTTAGTAATGCGGCAGGACGTTATTCGTAAATTAATTATTTCGATTCAAAAATAGGCCACTTATCATAAAGACAGGTAAGCGGTGTCGGGGAATAGTCAGAGAACGGGACAAGAGCATGTAATGAAATAGGGTGACAAATTAAATAGAATATACCTGACAAGGCTGGGGTGAAAGGGATGAAAAAGAGCAAACGAGGCAACGTATCACCTTAGGAAAAATATTGGAGATATAAAGAATATGATCATAGAAGCACCCTCAATTGTCTATTCTGAGATAAATGGACGTTATTTATCTGATTTCCATAAAAATCACTGCATACTGAGCAGAACCTTAAAACGCTTAAAATTTTGCTCCCCTACGTCAGGAATCGAAACGACAAAAACGCGCACATGTTTTCTAATGTAACTGATAACAGGGGAAGAACATAGTCAGTTAAAAATGCGAAAAATACAGAATTATAATTTTTCTTCATTACATACATGTTTTGTGCGTTTAAAAAAGGCCAATTTCTCGAGAACAGACGCACGTTTATCCGTTCGAAATTTTAAAATTCCGTTTATGATTTTCTCCATTGTCGATTCTGGAAAGACTGTGACTGAACAGCTCGAATTGAATCAAGGGATCCAAATTAAAGTGCCCCGTACACTGAAAAGACCGGAATTTGTCAAGGTCAGGTCAAGGACGAATGACCAAGTATCTCAAGTTCCCGAATGTTATCAACTCGCTCAACTATTTCGATGCCCTATCCCCAAGTCGCTAAGTGTGCCTAAATCAAAAATAAACACCAGGTAAAACAGACGTCCTATCTAGTGAGGGAATTTCACAAAATCAAACTGAACGTTTATGATGGGCCGTTGGTGAAGCAAATACATCTGTGACATTTAGCTGCATAAGGAAGTGGTAAGAAACGTAGTGTCAAGCTTGCCTGGTGGATCGATTGGCCTTTTCTCAGTGGAATTAGTGTTATGTGGGTAAACGATGTTTAACTAGAATAGGACGACTCACAAAGAGCTTGAATGAAAGGGAACACACGATACGGATATTTTGGAATAAAAATCCCCAACGAAAAATTGGGAATTTTTTATAGGCTGACGCTTATCCAAACTCTTTCTCTCCTTTCCAATACTTGCCTCCGTGCCATTAATTAACGCCGACGAATGATGTATGCATTTCATCCAACAATAGGAAAATGATCAGTATTCTGATTTGAACCCAAAATTGTTTGTGAGTGAACAGCAGATAAAGTGCGGTCTTCTTTAAACTCAAGCGCCGCTTAACATTTAAAGCCTCAAGAAATTTGCGCTTCAATATAAAAAATATACTGACATACTTCTGAAATGTATGTTTTTATTCTCGAGTCCTCGTGGGTAAATAACACTCGATGTAGGTATTGTTAGACTGCGCCCTAGGAGTTAAAAGTGTGAGTCTTTCTGATAAATCGCAAATGGGCCCACAATAACCTATTCTACGACCGGTTGACTATGTCAATGAGATAGACTATTCGTTTGCTCGTGTTAACCGCCGAATCTAATTCTTCGAGCAAATGTAGCCAGAACTTGTCCATATTTTTTAGGACACTGCTTGAAACAGACTGGGTTTATGTAAAAAAAACATCTTCGAATTAAACTGTAAACAAGATACAGCCCAAAACCGCCTCTTTGCTCCTCTAGCTACTCGCATACGCCCTTTAACTGCCTTAAGTGCATCGCCTTGTTACCAGCTGACCTACGCTTATTTTTGACAAGGGCAAAGTTACTGAGCAGAAACCCTGTATTTTGAAATCATACCCTGCTGGGTGTTCATTGGTGTGCGTATTCTGGCAATTTCAAAGGATGTTCGACACAATGGCCGATAGTTCCAATTATTGTCTTAATAGGTTTTTTCAGTGAAAAGAACTATGCATTTCCATTCAGCGAGCATTTTTAAGTGACAGGCATTTGCAGCTGCCGATTTAAAACGCAAATAAAATGCCCGATCCGGGCTTTTTTCTTTGGCAGTGCCTGTAAACTGGCATCAAATGCAATTAATTTTATTATTAGCCGTCTTCGACGGATGCTGAGACTTAGGTGGTAGGACCGAATCCCGGACACGGACGAATGTCCTCAGCATCTACGTCATGCTGAGATAGCTGTAATTGCGTTAAAGCGGCCACCTCGTGCGGAAGGACAACGAGCAGTTACCCAAACGGCCCACGCAGATAACGATGTCAAGTCCGTCGCTACAAGAACACTCTGATGACAAACATGAGGCGTCTGCAGATCAACCCGGTCAACTGAGATAACCTCTCCCGAAACAATCTGACCTGCAGGAGGGCAGTGAAGACAGATAAGCAGTCTATGAAATTCACTACATCACCGCCGCCAAAGCCAAACTCGAGGCTTGCAAATTTCAGCTGCGTCCACCTCGAAATGGCAACGCTCAACCGCCCTCGACCTGCCCAAATTACCAGAGGACATTCTTTGCACCAATCGGCCTTGTAAGACATCCTCGTACCAAGTGCTGCAATCGGACTACACTAGCTGCGTTTTCCCACTCTGCCTCATATTCACATCGACGACTAGCACTGGGTGCAATCCCGAGCACCCGCTACCATCCTCCTCCTCCATTGCCTCAACATCCGCTGCGGCGGTTTTCATATCCACCACCACCACACACAATCCTGACACATCGGCAACCCCAGCGATGTGGACTCGATCCATACGTGTCCTTATTCTGACCCCACCTTCACCTCACACATCGGCCTTATCGGTCACTTGCAAATCCATCTCACAGAGACTGGTGAACCGGCGCCCAGGATTAGTGCTCGTTCTCTTTATAATTGCATCCAAGGGCCCTCAAAGCGCGCTAAAGGCGTACTCACAGCAAAGTATCTTAGTTACGAAGACGATTCATTCACCGGATGCTCCTATATCCTGACGAAAGCCCAAAAACTTGAAAACTAGCTGGCTGCTTTACGAAAGCTCGTGCGAGAGAACGATAATGGCAAAATGCGGTTAAAGGTGTAAGAGTTAGAAAGACAAAGGCAAAGAGCAGAGATCCAAAACAGCCAAGGAGCAAAGTGTGTGGAAAACCTCAATGCGAGGACGCGGATACCCTTGACGACGGGATAATAACACTGGAGTCCCTTGTTTCTTTGGAAGACAACCGAAGCGAACCATTTACTTCGCTCAACCATTTCGTGTGTCCAACAGAACCCTTATTCGGAAGTGAGGAAACACACTTGAAGCAAGGCGGAATGGGAAAGCACCACAACAGGAGTATAAACCCCAATACGACTCCAATGGATTTCCTGAGACCTTCAGCTGACAAGGCGGACGGAAACAGAACACATGAATCCATTGATCGCCGACTTTGAGCAGTCGTCCAGGGCCTATCAGAATCAAATACTCCTACCCCGAAGGAGAGGATTTCAGCTGACCTTGATATGTTTCAACACCTGCTGAAGAAGATGCCTAATTGGAAGGAAACGGTAACCATCCGCGCAGCCTTCAGAGTCGAAAAGAAGGTAAGCGAACAATCGGAAATTGTGCGAGCACGAACTCTTAAAATTGTTTTGGGCAATAAAGAGGAGGCTATCTTACTTCTGTCGAGGAAAATCAGCCTCCGAAACTCACACAAGGAAGTTTTTCAGTCGGACTACTTTCCAGCGTAACGTCTAAAACGCCTCGATTTATTGATGGCCTCCTAATTCCTTGCCGATATTTGGGGAAGTACTATTCGACCCGACCAAATTATGGTATCTTTTGACGTTGTCTCACTTTTCACGTTCATTTCACCAGACTCGGCATGCGACGTACAACACAAACGGCTCGAAGAAAGGTACGACGAAATGTCAGGGCCCCTAAAAATCAACCACCTAATGCGGCTCTTTGTATCCTGCCAACGAACCTTTTTCATCTTCGATGACTAAACATACGAACAAATCAAACGAACACCTGTGAGTTCCCAAACATCCAACCTAGTTGCGGAATTGGTCTTACAAGAGCTGGAAAAGGTTGCTTTCAGCCACTACTAGCCTCCGTTTTGGCGCTTATACGTGGACGCTACATTCTCCGTTATTTAGAAGGACAAGCTATCGGGTTTTCAAGACCTGCCTAACAGCATCTTTCCCGACCTTTAGTTTCCAAGAGAAGACGAGGAGGCCAAGAAATTACCCTTCCTTGACATGCTCGGCCCGCGCACATCTGATGGCAAACTCAGCACTACAGTTTACAGAAAGGCGATAAATACAACCCCGGTCCCCAGATATCATAGCAACCACCCATTCGTGCACAAACGGGGCTTTTTAAGGGCGCTTTTCGGCTGAATAAAAACGTCCTGTAGCGAGCCCGAAGGAAGGATGCAAGAACTACGGCATCTCAGGGACCAACTAACGAGGAATGGCTACCGAAATAGTTTAATCAGCCGCTGCATACGCACGCGCCCTTGACGAACAAATGGAAGAGAGACACCAACAATTTGGCACTCCCTACCGTACAAAAAGAATGTGCCTGAGGCCACGGAACGCCTTGCATCAGAATTAGGCGTTGACATCGCTCATCATTCGGTGGCTACCATGCGTAGCGGAACTGTGAAAATGAAGTATCGGCTGGACACAGGCAGCAGTTGAGCGTAGTCTATCAAATCCAATGTCATAACATGTCTCACATCACGAATACTTGAGCACAAACGGGCTGTTCGAAGAGGCGAACCACTATCGCAAGTCGTCACTCACACGCTGGGGGAAGGCCGTGAGTTCGACTTCGCCAACACGTGGATATTGGCGCAAGCCGGCAACAAGACGGGGCGGGAACTGTTGGAGGCGTGGGTGTCGGACACCAATTCTATCAATAGACACATTTATGTGCCTGCGTGTCATTACGCACTCCGCCCACGCAGCCAGGTGGCGCAGCTCAAATCCCCGCGGCGTACAAACGCCGTCACCACGCCGGGAGGCCATTGCCGGCCAGGCAGCACGAAGCAGACCTAGCCACGGACGTAATCTCCTCCTCACGGCACAACAGTATAAATTTTCGCACGTTGCTGCACTCTAGCAGTCTCTGGTGATGAAATGCTGTTAGAATTCGAAAGCTAATACCAATAAATGTACCATCCCAGTGATCTTGCCTTCGTCTTCTTAGAAGGCTGACTATTTTTTTAGTTTTTTCAATCTGTTTTCATTAGAGAAGCAGATTTTCTTCCACCTAGTTCTGAGAACATGGGAGGTCCGATTATTGGAAATATTGTGTTTCAAGAAGAAGCGATTTCGGAAGCTATAAAAACCTTGAAGGAATGTGAATCTCCAATCCGGACGAGATTCCAGCACAGCTGAACTCTGAGCTTGCCCGGGAGCTGGCAAAACCGAAATCCTTTCTGTGCCAGAAATCGTTTGATGCTGGAATCCTCCCCACAAACTGGAAGACGGCCCACACTACACTCTCTTACAAAAGTGGTAGTCGTGCTCTTGAGACGAAATACAGGCTCGTCAGCCTAACATCAATATGCTACAAAATGATAGAGAAGACCATCAAAAAGGAGTTAATGGCTTATTTAGATACCAATAACCTTTTGCCCAATCCACAATACGGTTTTC